TTGTCAACAAACTGTTTATGCTGTCCAAGGCCTGGTCCACGATTTGCATCTTTTTTGTGCACAGGCTGGCAGGCGCTGTGGCTTAGTTGGTTAAAGCGCTGTCTAGTAAACAGGAGATCCTGGGTTTCGAATCCCAGCGGTGCCTTTGACTGTGCCCTCTGTTTCGCAGGCCTTGGACCCTCGCAATTCTTTGCTTTTCTGAGAACTGACCACAAACGGTGAAACTGAGGCTTGCTTTGCAATTTCTTCCACTTGAAACCATCCCTGAGCTGTTGTTGAAGGACAGTGTCCCAGATAACAAATCATAGCATCAAGGCGCTGTGGCTTAGTTGGTCAAGCGCCTGTCTTGTAAACAGGAGATCCTGGGTTCGAATCCCAGCGGTGCCTCTATCCAGCTGACTTTGCTCTTTGGATTGTTCTTGGACAGAGAGCCTTGAGACCTTGAATCCAGTTTAAATTGTGCAGAGTCTAAAGCACCTGTCTTTTCTGCCCGCAGAGTGAAAAGCATTACAGTGTTGGAAATGCCCAGATGAAAAACCATCAAGTGGCCCAACCACATAATCATGTGGGCTCTGTGGCACAATGGATAGCGCATTGGACTTCTAGATTGCAAAATGAGGACATTCAAAGGTTGTGGGTTTGAGTCCCACCAGAGTCGTACCTTTAGCCCTTTTGTCAACCCCATACTGTACAGTGTTGCCCTCAGTTAACAGAAAGCTTTTGAGGCCTCTTGTTCTCAACGTGTTCATTTCAAATAATGTCAATGTAGTTGAAAGCTTCAAAATATTGTCTGTTTTGTTTACTACTACATTTGCTTACCAAAACCTCTTGGCTCTTGCACACAAGGACTGGCAGTCACCACAGAGTGGTGCCAGACTTCCTTTCTCTTCCCGCTGCTTAGATGGTCTTTGCAGCTCTTGTGAATGGAGCTCCATAAACATGTTTGATGTGGGTTCTAGGAGTCAGCTGAACATGGTTGGCCAATAATCACAGAGGCTGGCTGGCCACCCCCACGCAGTTGTTCAACAAACTAGTTTTGCTGTCCAAGGCCTGGTCCACGATTTGCATCTTTTTTGTGCACAGGCTGGCAGGCGCTGTGCTTAGTTGGTTAAAGCGCCTGTCTAGTAAACAGGAGATCCTGGGTTCGAATCCCAGCTGTGCCTTTGACTGTGCCCTTCTGTTCCGCAGGCTTGAACCCTTGCAATTCTTTGCTTTTCTGAGAACTGACCACAAACGGTGAAACTGAGGCTTGCTTTGCAATTTTTTCCACTTGCAAACCATCCCTGAGCTGCTGTTGAAGGACAGTGTCCCAAGATAACAAATCATAAGCATCAAGGCGCTGTGGCTTAGTTGGTAAAGCGCTTGTCTTGTAAACAGGAGATCCTGGGTTCGAATCCAGCGGTGCCTCTATCCAGCTGACTTTGCTCTTTGGGATTGTTCTTGGACAGAGAGCCTTGAGACCTTGAATCCAGTTTAAAATGTGCAGAGGCTAGAGCACCTGTCTTTCTCTGCCCGCAGAGTGAAAAGCATTACAGTGTTGGAAATGCCCAGATGAACCATTCACAGTGGCCCAACCACCATAATCATGTGGGCTCTGTGGCACAATGGATAGCGCATTGGACTTCTAGATTGCAAAATGAGGACATTCAAAGGTTGTGGGTTTGAGTCCCACCAGAGTCGTACCTTTAGCCCTTTTGTCAACCCCATACTGTACAGTGTTGCCCTCAGTTAACAGAAAGCTTTTGAGGCCTCTTGTTCTCAACGTGTTCATTTCAAATAATGTCAATGTAGTTGAAAGGCTTCAAAAATGTTGTCTGTTTTGTTTATACTACATTTGCTTACCAAAACCTCTTGGCTCTTGCACACAAGGACTGGCAGTCACCACAGAGTGGTGCCAGACTTCCTTTCTCTTCCCGCTGCTTAGATGGTCTTTGCAGCTCTTGTGAATGGAGCTCCATAAACATGTTTGATGTGGGTTCTAGGAGTCCAGCTGAACATGGTTGGCCAATAATCACAGAGGCTGACTGGCCACCCCCACGCAGTTGTCAACAAACTAGTTTATATGCTGTCCAAGGCCTGGTCCACGATTTGCATCTTTTTGTGCACAGGCTGGCAGGCGCTGTGGCTTAGTTGGTTAAAGCGCCTGTCTAGTAAACAGGAGATCCTGGGTTCGAATCCCAGCGGTGCCTTTGACTGTGCCCTTCTGTTTCGCAAGGCCTTGAACCCTCGTAATTCTTTGCTTTTCTGAGAACTGGCCACAAACGGTGAAACTGAGGCTTGCTTTGCAATTTCTTCCACTTGCAAACCATCCCTGAGCTGTTGTTGAAGGACAGTGTCCCAAGATAACAAATCATAGCATCAAGGCGCCGTGGCTTAGTTGGTCAAAGCGCCTGTCTTGTAAACAGGAGGTCCTGGGTTCGAATCCCAACGGTGCCTCTATCCAGCTGACTTTGTTCTTTGGGATTGTTCTTGGACAGAGAGCCTTGAGACTTTGAATCCAGTTTAAATTGTGCAGAGGCTAGAGCGCCTGTCTTTTCTGCCCGCAGAGTGAAAAGCATTACAGTGTTGGGAATGCCCAGATGAAAAACCATCAAGTGGCCCAACCACACAATCATGTGGGTTCTCTGGCGCAATGGATAGCGCATTGGATTTCTAGATTGCAAAATGAGGACATTCAAAGGTTGTGGGTTCGAGTCCCTTTAGCCGTTTTGTCAACCCCATACTGTACAGTGTTGCCCTCAGTTAACAGAAAGCTTTTGAAGCCTCTTGTTCTCAACGTGTTCATTTCAAATAATGTCAATGTAGTTGAAAGGCTTCAAAAATGTTGTCTGTTTTGTTTACTACTACATTTGCTTACCAAATCTCTTGGCTCTTGCACACAAGGACTGGCAGTCACCACAGAGTGGTGCCAGACTTCCTTTCTCTTCCCGCTGCTTAGATGGTCTTTGCAGCTCTTGTGCATGGAGCTCCATAAACATGTTTGTTGTGGGTTCTAGGAGTCCTGCTGAACATGGTTGGCCAATAATCACAGAGGCTGGCTGGCCACCCCATAGTTTATACTGTCCAAGGCCTGGTCCACGATTTGCATCTTTTTTGTGCACAGGCAGGCGCTGTGGCTTAGTTGGTTAAAGCGCCTGTCTCGTAAACAGGAGATCCTGGGTTCGAATCCCAGCGGTGCCTTTGACTGTGCCCTTCTGTTTCGCAAGGCCTTGAACCCTCGCAATTCTTTGCTTTTCTGAGAACTGACCACAAACGGTGAAACTGAGGCTTCCTTTGCAATTGTTTCCACTTGCAAACCATCCCTGAGCTGTTGTTGAAGGACAGTGTCCCAAGATAACAAATCATAGCATCAAGGCGCCGTGGCTTAGTTGGTCAAAGCGCCTGTCTTGTAAACAGGAGGTCCTGGGTTCGAATCCCAACGGTGCCTCTATCCAGCTGACTTTATTCTTTGGGATTGTTCTTGGACAGAGAGCCTTGAGACTTTGAATCCAGTTTAAATTGTGCAGAGGCTAGAGCGCCTGTCTTTTCTGCCCGCAGAGTGAAAAGCATTACAGTGTTGGGAATGCCCAGATGAAAAACCATCAAGTGGCCCAACCACACAATCATGTGGGTTCTCTGGCGCAATGGATAGCGCATTGGATTTCTAGATTGCAAAATGAGGACATTCAAAGGTTGTGGGTTCGAGTCCCTTTAGCCGTTTTGTCAACCCCATACTGTACAGTGTTGCCCTCAGTTAACAGAAAGCTTTTGAGGCCTCTTGTTCTCAACGTGTTCATTTCAAATAATGTCAATGTAGTTGAAAGGCTTCAAAATGTTGTCTGTTTTGTTTACTACTACATTTGCTTACCAAAATCTCTTGGCTCTTGCACACAAGGACTGGCAGTCACCACAGAGTGGTGCCAGACTTCCTTTCTCTTCCCGCTGCTTAGATGGTCTTTGCAGCTCTTGTGCATGGAGCTCCATAAACATGTTTGATGTGGGTTCTAGGAGTCCTGCTGAACATGGTTGGCCAATAATCACAGAGGCTGGCTGGCCACCCCATAGTTTATGCTGTCCAAGGCCTGGTCCACGATTTGCATCTTTTTTGTGCACAGGCAGGCGCTGTGGCTTAGTTGGTTAAAGCGCCTGTCTCGTAAACAGGAGATCCTGGGTTCGAATCCCAGCGGTGCCTTTGACTGTGCCCTTCTGTTTCGCAAGGCCTTGAACCCTCGCAATTCTTTGCTTTTCTGAGAACTGACCACAAACGGTGAAACTGAGGCTTCCTTTGCAATTGTTTC